TTCTTTCTTTCTTTCTTTCTTTCTTTCTTTCTTTCTTTCTTTCTTTCCCTTCTATGCTGCCCATCTCACTGAGGTACTCTAGATGGCTTGCAGTCATACAATTAAAATACCATATAAAACATTAAAATAACAAATAAGAATCCATGCATATAATTTTCACTATTTTTCCTCTGTTGCTGATAAGGCTGGTGCATTTGTCCAATTATTATTTATTTGTTAAAATGTTTTATGAATATTTTATTTATATTAGTATTGAATGGTTTTACTATTGTTATTTGTGCACAATTCAATAAATATTTGTGAATGCTTTATAATTAATTATAAAAATTATAATATTAACTTTTGATATAGGAATTTTTTGAGAAATATAACCCATACAAAAAAAGGCTATTTTGGGGTCCTCTAGGATTTTTAAAAATGGGAAGGAATCCTAGGAACCAACAGTTCTAGAACCAACACTGCTCTAGATTAATTCAGAATCTTTCAGGATGTGCTGGGTCAGCTGCGGTTACCTACCAGCTTACTTCATGATATATGATCACAACTTTGTGAGGATCTGTTTGTCTTTTACCTGTTGGTAAGAATAATTGTAGCAGCAGTAGTAATATTTGCAGGGAGCCCTATACCTGATTCCCATACTTTGACCCTTAAATTGTTCAATGTTTGTTGTCTGTGACTTCGCCAAAATGCCAATTTAAAGCCTCTTCAACTTCTTATTTAGAAGTCATAATTCTACAACCAGTTTAGTAGTGTAATATTGACATAAAGGGTCACCCTTTTGTATTGCAAGCTGCTCAGCCTTTAGATCCAATGTTATCTGCTTTCTTTCTCTCCACAGACTCTCTTCCAAAGCCCAGATGAAGGTTGGCAGGTCTATACGTCAGCTCAGGCTCCCGATGGCAAATGTCTGTGCACAGCAGTCATCCCTGTTCAGGGCACCTGCTCGCGAGACTTGCGCAGCCGGCAACTACGGCAGCTCATGGAGAAAGTAAGCAAAGTATTTCCTATCTGTGGGAGAAAGTGGCTTAAGCAATGGGAGCCTTTAGATTTGTTAAGAGTGCTGGCATGCCCCATGCTCTTTTCCTGTTCTCCTTTCTCTCCACTTCATTCATAACTGCTGGGGATTTATCCCTGATTTTTATAAGATTGGGGATTAAGATCTGGTGAAATCCAACTGAGGCCTGATGAAGAGAAGTTATTATCCCCCAAACCTGGGAAGTGGTAGTTATGATCCAATCTAAACAGAGCAAAACTTCTGATCTGTAGTCTGATTTCATCACCTGCCCTAAAATCTTGGTGTCAATTATAGAAGACATATTTGGCATTTCTTGAAAGGAGTTTGAAGTGCCCTTCCAACATTATGTCCTCAAAATCATTCACTCATAGTCATGAAAAATATTCTTCAGTACCTGATTCATGAATGAGAAAGGATCTGGCCATCAAACTAAGACTTCTTTTTATTGGGCAGAAACCACTCTATCCCAAAATAGGTAGTTCAGGACCAGGATTTGACTAATGTTTTAACCATCTATCAAAAATTTTCTGTTGGATAACAACACCAGGGAAATCCACATATCTCTTTCCTTCACTTGTGCCACGTTAAATTTGAATTAAGTGCTAATTGCTGACTTCATTGCTAAAGCAAAATACTAGTAATGAAGGCAGTGCAAAATATGCTGGTATACTTGAGTTGTAGCTCACAGATTGAATGAAAGCACATTCATCTGGTTGTGAAGAGCTCCCCATCATCTAGGAAATATTGTTTTTGTGATGAAGACTTGAACCACGCCTTATGAAGTATCCTTATCGTTAAAGATGGCTTCTTCTTTGTCCCAATCTTCTTGTTGCGCAGTCTTTTCCTGTAGTTTCTCATAGGTACAGATCGCCATTTCTAAGAATTGAAAAACAGAGCCAAGAGAGCCCTTCCCTTCTTGTTCCTCTTCTTTGTATTTTTTAAATTCCATTTTCAGTTCATCCACAAGTGATGCCATTGTAAAAAAAATTTTTTCAAACAACCACCCAAGTGTTTTTAGTCATTCAAATATAATTTCCAAAAGTCCCAAAGTCACCAAGCAATCCAAATACACACAAGCTGTTTCTTTTAATACTTTCTTCTTTTTTCACTTTCTCTTCCTGGGGTTACTGTTTAGTTACAAAGTTCCAGTTAAAAAGTATCTTTTAGAAGTCTTGTTAGGATTTAAATCAGATTCTTTTAAATTATAGGCAGTCTCCTCCTTCCAAATCCTGCTCTTATTCTTTTCCTCTCCCTTCCCACTTACAGCAAAAAAAAAAAAAGTTTTTTTTTTAGTGTTCAGAAATCCTTATTGTCCCCTTGACATTTAATTATCCAGTTTAATTACCTCTTGATGCCAAAGCGGGTTTTTCCGATTTCTCATTCATCTCTGTTCGCTGTCAACGTAAGGAAGGAGAGTGAAGAAAAAAACTTTCCCTTTTCACTTTCATTCGCTGCTTCCGAATCTTCTTTGGGAGCGATGTATCTTTTTTTAAAAAATTAGATTCCAGGATACCTTAGTTGTTGCTTTTTATCCCGGTCAGCCAAAACTTTCATTTCTTAACTTCCTCCTGCACTTTCTTTTCCGGATGAGTGCTTCTTTGAGGTGGCCATTTCTGACCGCCGCTCTTACCGCCTTCGGGAAAGGGAGTTTAGCCAGCTGGGGAGGAAAGATGCGGCTTCCCTCGACCCTGCTGGGATCTCCCCCCTCTTCGCCACCTCTACGGGGTGGCTTAGCCCCGAAGCCAACTGGCTCGGGACGCTCCAGAGGCGAGCCCAGGCAGAAACCACGCACGATCGCAGATTCCTGCCTGTTGCCGAAGCCCTGCAAACCGAAAGTCCCTGAAGTATCCTTATCATTGCACAACATTGGGTGTCACCAGCTTCATGCTGTTGCTGGCATTCCTATAGCCACCTGTTCTGGCTGTATCAACTGTTCATATATTCCCATTTGACAATCTCTTGGACTTTGCAAATTCTAGTTCACAGTGGTTTTACTGAGTGACAACAGTGATGATAATGATGGTGAAGATGATGACAAAATGATAATCATAATTGTGATTGTATTGGTGAATAGATAGACAGGTGGCCTTTCAAAATGTCACTGGAGAAAAGGCTCTGCCAATGGAATAGAATAGAATAGAATAGAATTCTTTTATTGGCCAAGTGTGATTGGACACCCAAGGAATTTGTCTTGGTGCGTATGCTCTCAGTGTACATAAAAGAAAATATACATTCATCAAGAATGGCCAACATTCTTTAGCCAATGGTACCCAGAGCATGTCCCCCCTACTGGAACAAGTAGTGACAATTGGGGAGCAGTGGTGTCACATGCACTGAGTAACCAGCACCAGTGCCTGCCTATGCCTTTGCTTTCTGCACCAGTTGAAACTTCCAAATGAAGAGTAATAATCCAATCTGGTGATCACATGACCATAAGTAACAGTGAGGGCGGGGAGCTGAATTCAGGAATGGGCACAACTGACACACAAAGGCTGTTCCAGCCATGGCTGCCACCTGCTTATTCAGCAGGAACTCTAAGTCCAGAAGAACTTCCAGATACTTGGTCTGTCTTGGTCTGTGCCAGTCCATTCAGAACCAAAAATAGAAGGTCCCTGGAACCAGGAGGTCCAAAACCGCAGGACTATTCTGCCTTGCTTAGGGTTGAACTTAAACCTGTTGCTCCCCATCCAGCCTCACACCCCACCCCACCCCACAGCCTCAAAGGACTGAGACAGAACCTCCATGGCATCACTCAGGCAATCCAAGGTTGAATTATAAAGCTTAGTATCTTCATCAACACCCCAAATTGTTGAATGTCCTCACCCAGCAACTTCATATAGATGTTAAACAATGCTAATGACATGACTCTATCTGAAGTTGCCTTTCTGGATGAAACTCAAGGAACCCCTCCCCTTTTTTATTCTCCCCAAAAGTGAGAAACATAGTTTAGGCTATAGAGATTAAATATAGCTCCAGGTCATCCAATGACCTTCATGGCTAAGCTGAACTTTGAATCTGGGTTTCCTTGGTCCTAATCTAACTCTCAGACCACAGCGCTACCCTGACTGTTCTCCATATCTGCCTCTCGCTCTATTGTAGACAGAGCCATGGTGGCGCAGTGGTGAGAATGCAGTACTGCAGGCTACTTCTGCTGACTGCTGGCTGTCTGCAATTTGGCCGTTCAAATCTCACCAGGCTCCAGGTTGACTCAGCCTTCCATCCTTCCGAGGTCGGTAAAATGAGGATCTGGATTGTTGGGGGCAATAGGCTGATTCTGTAAACCACTTAGAGAGGGATGTAAAAGCACTGTGAAGTGGTATATAAGTCTCAGTGCTATTGCTATTGCTAGACAGAGTTTGGAATAAGTTATTTGCAAATGGACCATCTTGAAGAACAGATTTAGTGTTGTGACTAAAATATATCAAAGAACTTGCAAAATGCCAATCTGTGCTCTCATTTAGACTCTCTTCCAGCTTTTTTTCCCGTCCCTGGATTCCACCCCTGCCCTTTATTCATATTAGACTGGCTGGAAGCTGAAGTCTTTGATCCTCCTGTGAGTGGTGCTGCATTTTTTTTTTCTTCCTCAAAAGACGGCTTTGCCTCTAAGGATGCCAGGGAGAAGTCAGGGAGCTTCCTTTGTCTCACCTTCTTCTCTTTAATGAGATGCAAATAGGGCCTTTATGGTTCCTGGTGGAGCAGCGGCAGCCAGCCGCACGGCAGGATGAGCAGTAAATTCCCTTTCCTCAAGATTAATTGCCTTAAAGTCTCATTACCAAGGGGAGACTGCTTCCCATTGACTTTGCACGTGCAAATAAAGTATTTACTAGCCAAATAAGGATCATGCCAATTTACTGTTGCAATTACTATGGGTCTTTTCACCAGGGAATCGCAGAGAAGAATCTGTTGAGCTTCAGCTCAGCTTTCACGTAGCTTTGAAAGCTTCAGGATGGGCCAGAATACGGCAATTACTGGTGAAGGACTGCACGTCTGCCTTGGTCTATATGAGAATAAGAGGAAGGGGAAGAAATTAAATTTCTAAACCTCTCCATTGTTAATAGCTGAGTCTTTGAGGTAGTAACAATGAGGATTAATTGCTTTACCCTCTTATGATATAGACAAAGTGAGGGATCGAGGAGAAGAAATTAAGCATGTCTATAAGAGTTTATAAAGATTGAACAGATGGAGAGAGGAAAAATAAAGGTATAGGAAGCTTGATCTTTTTTTTATTCTGCTGGTCATTGACTGGAAATAAATAAATAATCATTGCTGTAGGGAGGGAAACTGCTATTCCCATCAAGCAGAGAAAGGGGACTGCGGGTCTCTTTTGATGAGTAAAGAATTGCAAACCTACCTAGTTAATTGCAAGCAGAATATAAGTCCTGTGTCCCATTCAACACAACGCAACAATGGACAGACCTCAGACCTCTCCAAGAAGAAGAGAACCAAGGTACACATACACACACAAAAAAACCCACCCCTCGTATTGTGTATCTTTGGCGTTTCATCCTTTCCTTTCCTTTTCTGAATAAAAGTTCAAGCAGAAACCTAGTGGTAGTTGAAAAACTGCAGCTGCAGTGAGAGAGATTATATTTTCTCATAAAAAGCAATAGAGAGGAAAAATTAAGGGTGATACCTTTATTCAGTCAGACTGACAATTTACAACCTTTCCAAGAATTCTTCATTAGGCAAGAACATAAAAGACAGGTGGGGGTGGGAAGGCAAGGGGAGGAGGAAAATGTGGGTGATCTTCTTACCGTGGACCACTGTTTACTTTGATTAAGTGAGTGAGAACCTCTGGAGCTGAGTTGGGATCTTATCGGGTATAGTTTTAGATTGCATTATGGCAAGCCCTTTTTTAAAAAAAATAATAATCCAACAGTTAAAGTCAAAATACAGGTAGTCTCAACTTATAATAGTTCATCCAGTGACCTTTTCAAGTTGCAATAGTACTGAAAAAATTACTTATAATCATT